TCGTGATCCCCAGGGTTCACATCCTTACCCGAAGGCTCTGTAGCAGTTTCTTGAGCCGAAGGGACGCTACTTGGATCAGCCGTCCCCATGTCCACGTCACTCTGGTCGCCACTGAGGTCGACCACGGCGGGAGTCGAGGAAGGCGCTGGTGTAGGAGGTGGCGACCATGAACTTGGAGAAGACGGTATAGACTTGGACCGAGTCTTCATATGACGTCGGGGCGACTTAGCAGATGAATGAGGACAAGATTTCTTGCGCTTCTTCTGGGCCGCCTTCTTCCACGCCTTCGGACCGAACAGCGATCTACGAGTCGACTTGGGAGTTGAAGTATCGGCAGGTGGCGCATCACCGAGACCGGCAGCTGCCATCGAAGTACTGGCCTTGTCCGTTGGGATCGGAGCCTTGTCTTCGTCAGAGTCTTCCGACTCGTCGTCTGAATCCTCGCCACCTGGTCTAAGACGCTTATGGGACTTCCCATGGGCCACTTGGTGAGCGGCTTTGGCCAAAGCTGCAGGAAGGGCTTGAGGATCGTCCGAAGACGCGACGCGGTGGTAGACTGAATGCGCCGCAAAGCGACTAATGTCTCCTGATCCAAGTCCAGCGCGTCCAGGTCCAGCTCACCCGCAGTCAGACCTATCGCGAAGGATTGTGAACGAACGTTAGTTGTTGAACACACGGTGGAAGGAGCGACATTAAGAGCGCACCTTCAACAGCCAGACGAAGTACCTCGGAATCCATCCCTGCCAGACTCACGTGTGCCCGGAGGGTACGATTCGCTTGGAGGAGGCGAGTGCTACGGTCTTGCTGGTTCTCGAGGACCTTGCGCGTGTCGTTATCAACGTACTTGCCCTGGGCAAGCTTTACCAGAAGGAGGTGGAGCTTCCGAGTCTGCTCGGTATTCGCTCCAATAGAAGACATGTACACCTCGCGTTCACGAGCCAGCTTCTTTTGCAAAGTGCTGATGAAAACGTCCCGAGCTTGGACTTTGCAGTGAAGACGATTCAAATCCTCTGCGTGTCGCTCCATAGTGGCTTGAACACTTGCGAGCATGGCGTCATTCTTGGCGTTCGACTCGCGGAGAATCTTGATGTTGTGGTGTAAGGCTTCAATCTCAGCGTTGGCAGCCTTGAGGAATGTCTCCGCGTTCTCACGAGCCATGATGTGGGGTGCCACCGAACGTACGGCGGCAGCAGCCTCGGACTGAGCAAACCGCAACTGACGCTCCAAGTCGGCAACTCGTTCCGGTAATGCCGACAGCGCGTCAGGAACAGGTTGTATCGCAGCGAGGACATCATCGAAACCAACGGCAGTCTCGAGGCGACGCTGAGTGTGTATATCGCCGTGGAGAGGAGGCGCAACGCTGAGCTGCACTTGGTGACGAGCCATTGCAGTCAAGTACGGGATTATCGAGGTCATCATATGATCGGCCGATGCCTCCGTACTTTCAGCCAGCATGGCGCGCAGCGAATCTTCGGTGAGTGGTGGCGGACCACCAGCTGGGGCCGGAGGAGCAGCAGGAGCCATCTCCGCGGGTTCAGCGACGACGGGGAGTGCTGCAGGAGCTACCACAGGGAGTGAAGAGTCCGGGGCAGCGGGCACCGGAGGGTCGGTTGATGACGCTGCTGTCGGAGGAAGTGCAGCAGACTGAGGGGCGTTCGAACCCTCGGCCTTGCCCTCCTGAGAAACAAGTCGAGTAATGCGAAGTGATGAGCAAGGTGCCAATGATTCAAGAAAAGGATGAGCTGACGTACCTCCAGCTGTTCACGTTCGCGACGTCTACGAGGATTGAGACGCTGAAAAGCGTCGGACACGGCTCGATTCAGACGCTTGGACATACGGTGTCGAGATGGTGGATTGAAGAATGAAGAAATGTCACAACGGGCACCAGTACCGTGGCTTCCATTGCAACAGGGGCAGTTGTGGTGTAGTGATTTCTCCGTAGCTGCGGATTATCACCCGTCGACAAAGACGTGACACCGCCCAAGTTGTTCAAGTGACGAACCCTCGGTCAGGTGATGTACGGAGATGCCAAGGTGCAAGGGACTCGACGGCGTCACCTCCGAACGTTCAACGAGTATTGGATACGGGCATATGTCACTGAATCCAGGCTGTCCTTATTATT